AAGAAACAAATGTGAACTAGAAATAAAACAATTTAAAAGCTTAAAAGAAATATAACATTTTAATTAAATACAGGGAACCTGTTAGGACAGAGATGTCGGAAATGCCACTGCTCACTATTCTTGTGAGGGTGAAGGTTCCACAGCTGTCCTCCTCACTTTCTATAGTGCAGGGGTGGGCAATTAATCTTCTCAAGGGGCCACATGAGAAACTGGGACTGTGGTGGAGGGCTGAATGCTGGGGGTGGGGAACACATTTGACGTCATCTGGCGGTCCTATCAACCAATCACTGAAAAGGAGGTGAACATCTGACATCATTGGTTGCTAGGATGCCAACACTACTAGCAACCAATGACTGCAGAGAAGGTGAACACCTGACATCATTGGTTGCTAGGATGCCAGCAGTCCTAACAACCAATGGCTGCAGAGGAGGTGGACACCTGTAAAGTTTTTGCATTCTATCAGTGGCAGTGGTCACCAGGACCACACAGGGTGAATCACCACCGGCAGACCAATCCTTGAATACTCCAGCCAAAAAAAAAAAAAATAGTTTGGGCTTTATATAAAATTCAAACATACCCTCTGAAAATAAAAAGGGATTTTCAGATCTAAGATAATAAAAATGCCCCTGAAATTGTCTGAATAATAATGAGACCATTTGATATATTTTAACAGAGAAAATTAAAAGGTCACAATGCTTCTCTTCCTAAATAGCGGTCACATGACCTCCAAGCTCCAGCCAGTCAGTGTTCCCCATGGAGGGTCGACAATTTAGCAGTGTTGTCGGGCCTCCGAGGGACACGCAGACTAGCAGGAACTTTGTGGTCATGTGACCTGATCTGCATCTGATAATTCCATAACGTCGTGACGTCATTTGTGACTAGGTTAAAGAAAAAAAAACAAAGTTTGACTCACCCGAAGCTCCAAACCGCTCCTTCCAACGTCTATCCCCCTCGTCTGCAATGGTCTAAGGTCCTGTAAATCATCAACGTCTATACACAGCCTATAGACATGAGGACGCCGAGGAAGATTAAAATGTTGTATAGAGGGAGCGCTGTGACAGCTGTCTGGCTTGGATCTTCGGGTGAGTATATTTTTATTTATGCACCTAGACACAAACGAGCACTTAACCATTGCAATGAGGGGGTAGCCCCACTGCAAGGCTCAATATAAAAAAAATTCCTGGAGCTCTTCTTTAAAAAAAGAGGTAGTCAAGTGGCGTTTTATTAGAAAATGTATGCGGGAGTCTCAGAGCGGTGGGGAGGTGACATTTAACAGGTAGGTATAGTGTATTATTTTGCTTTAACTAAAAGTCAGAGCGTTTGATTCACACACCGGCTTTGCATAAATTTCACTGAGAATCTATCCGATGGCCGCCCTGGGGAGGTACAGGGCTGTCCCAATTAAAAATAAAACACTCCAAGCAGTGTCTAAAAAAGATGCATCTCTCACCCAGCCGCCTGTATGACATGAGGAGTGTCATCAACATGAAAACAAAAACTGCCATTTGCAATTAAAGTGAACCTGCAAACACAATATACAGAACGCACTGGCAGCAGAAGGTATATACAATATGACACGTCCTCCTCCGAGAGCCGGAGCCATCTAATACGCTAGTTTGGAGGCAAGTAACCAAATCTAGGTGCCGGCATTGTATTTAGGAAGCCATGACATAAACTTCACCTGTACCAAAGAACAAGATCAGAACAGACCTCAGGTAGTGAGCTGCCGACAGACTCGGCTGCATGGCCTACGTAGTTCTGGAACAAGGGATCGCCGAGTCTACTTTACGGCTGTAGTAGAACAAAGTCCCTAAGGACGGTCCCGCCTGTTTTTGTGCCTCTTGACACCTCTCGTTAATACCGGAAGTAAGCAAGGAAAGCGTGCAAAAGTGCTGCAGGGCAATACAGAGTTGGAAGACCAGGAAAGAGTCAATAAAAAAATAAAGCTTCTTCCTTTCCAAATGGAAAACTAAGTGCTTGCTAGCTGATGGGGTCGGCTTGGAATACCCGGGAACAGGTAAAGGTCCTTGCACAGCGTGCTGCAATACTCCGACATCTCCTTGCAGCGGTCAAATTCGGTTCCTGGAGCGTGGCCCTCCCGGTTCTTAATACAAGCGTTAACCTGTGGGAGGAAATGGGACAATCATATCAGAACATGTGACAGCATTTAAAAGGAGAACTCTCGCCAAACAGCCAAAATCTCAATAGGCAGCTGAAACCCCTTAAGTTAAGTTTAACCTTCCAAAATATTTGCAACTCAATCCAGCTTCACTAATAACTCACAACCCGGCCACACTTTATAACCAAACAGTGACTCCATGACAAGTTCAGCTTTGCAGCTTCCTGTATCACCTCACCGCACCCTGATGATTTTAATTCTAAATAAGCCATACCCCACTGGTAAGGAATTTCTTGTGCTTGCCTAAATACCTGCCCTCCAGCCACTGCTGCCTGAAACATGTCAGTATGACACCACTTGTTTCACAGTGCTGTCACTTCTGTCAGGTTGAATATACCGTAGATGACAAGGAGAATTATTAAATAGATTTCAGGACAATATATGTAATCCATAATGTAGATACATCTAGGCTTACCTTTACAAGCATGTCAGCCACATGCGTGTCCTTAGCATACTTAGAGAACACATTGGCGAGATCCTGTATGAACCATGAGCCGCGTTTTGTGTTACGAAGTGATACAGTACCTGAAATAGGGGACAAGATGTGAACTACTTATCCAAGCTGAAACTAATCTTTATTGAGAGAGACGAGGAGACTTAAGATGGCCATACATGCGAATTCCTGAAGAACCGGCCGAAATACACACAGTGGCACCCTTTGGGCCGGGATCCCTCAATCAGCTATTCAAAAGGAGCTGGTCAGAAAATCTTCAAATAAACTGACCCGGCGCCCACAGTCAGCTCGCGGGTTGAAAGAATAAAATAGAACAGTGTATGGCCAGCTTTACATTGCAACATCTAATTCTGCAAACTCTAGTTTCCTGGCTGTCATGTTCATCCTCATGCTTCAGCACTGAATGTCCCTTATCTGGTAGATAACATCGTACGTATCTGGTACGAATCAAGATGTCGAACTTTACAGCTCTGCATACTTGTTACAGGTTAGTGACAAACTTTACTCCTCCTAGCTGGTCAGCTTGGCTTCTTCAGAAGGGGACTGGCAATGGCAGTCAGAAAGGGTTTTGTTACATACAGACATAACTTCTAGAATACGTTGCCAGGAAGTTCACAGATACTGAGTTAAGCTGGCTACACGCCGCTCTGTTTTAAAAAAATAGAGCAGATTCCTCCATCAATGCTACAAGCATGTTGTTAGAGGAATCCCTGCTGTTTCTTTAGCATGCCGACAGCGGCCGCCAGGCTGCTGGTTCTGTTCGTATGAAGTTTTCCCGACCGGCTCCTTTGATCAGCTGTTTGAGGGATGCTGTTGGAAAGGGTGCCAACAGCAGCACCCACTGTGCGAATTTTGGCTAATTCCTCAAGAACCAGTCGAGGTTCGCACAGTGTATGGCCACTTTTAGTTGTAACTTTAAGGTTGGGAGGTCACGCCAAACGTGAGAGTACAATTACACGATAAGTCCCACATTTTATGTAACGTTGGAGCACAGTTCCTATTCTCATATATAATGTTCTCATAAGGGATAACCTGATCAACCGATGATTCCCACTTGGCTACAGTAGGAGGATGGACTCCATTTCATAGCTATGGGTTTGCGAGCCATAAACAGAGTTGCTCACAAGAATTTTAGGGTAGTGCTGCCAATATTCTTTATCTAGTAAACAAACATCAAGTGTGCAGGGAAGAGAGAGTTGCAGTAAGTTGGTGAGCATAGTAATCACTTGCTGCCAGAAGTCAGATATAATCTGACAACCCCAAATGAGGTGCATGAAATCTGCGTGGAGTCTATACAGTTGGGGGTGGCCATACGCTCCGAATGGTAAGTCTGGTGTACAGGTGAAACTCAAATAATTAGAATATCGTGCAAAGTTCATTTATTTCACTAATGCAACTTAAAAGGTGAAACTAATATATGAGAGAGACTCATTACATGCAAAGCAAGATAATTCAAGCCGTGATTTGTCATAATTGTGATGATTATGGCTTACAGCTCATGAAAACCCCAAGAACCCCAAATCCACAACCTCAAAAAAGTAGATTATTACATGCAATCAATAAAACAAGGACTGTACATAGAACAATATCGGACCTCTGAAAAGTACAAGCATGCATATGTACTCAGTACTTGGTTTGGGCCCCTTTTGCAGAACTTACTGCAATTACTTTTGCACAATATTCTAATTATTCGAGTTTCACAGTAAAGGTTTGACTTAAATATAATTTTGGTGAATGACGCTGACAGTATAAAACTCAGAAGGTTTACACAACACAAATGTTCTATTCACTGGCTGTCACAAACCACAACTGGACATCCAAGGCTGCCCACACAAAGCCTGCAATTCACAAATACAGGTGAAACTCGAATAATTAGAATATCGTGCAAAAGTAATTGCAGTAAGTGCTGCAAAAGGGGCCCAAACCAAGTACTGAGTACATATGCATGCTTGTACTTTTCAGAGGTCCGATATTGTTCTATGTACAATCCTTGTTTTATTGATTGCATGTAATATTCTACTTTTTTGAGGTTGTGGATTTGGGGTTCTTGGGGTTTTCATGAGCTGTAAGCCATAATCATCACAATGATGACAAATCACGGCTTGAATTATCTTGCTTTGCATGTAATGAGTCTCTCTCATATATTAGTTTCACCTTTTAAGTTGCATTAGTGAAATAAATGAACTTTGCACGATATTCTAATTATTCGAGTTTCACCTATACTGTGACTCATTGCAGCAACCTATTAGATGATCTGGTATTGGGAGGTTCACACCCAAACAATAATGGACACATGTGAGAGCCACAAACCCCGTGCAGAGATATTGTAATATGCTAATGCTGTGAAATTATCTGCACAATGCTCGGATTCTTAACCTGGTTCATTATCAGATCAGCAAAAGCAGTCTGCTTGGAAAGCTGTATCCATAAATTTGTTTTGTGATGCATACAGAGGAGTTTGTGGATTCCACAATGTCCAGCTGAGAATGTTCTAATTCGCTTGATGTTACATGGGAATAGTAAAATCGAGGAAATACTGAGCCCACGTGACCATCTTTATGGCCAACTGGAGATAGTCGGATACTGGCCCCCATGGCATACGCTCGGCTCATTCACTGCCCCATGGTATCACTATCAAAAAGGTGGAGTTACACTTTAAACAGGGTTCTGCTGTTCACACTCACCCTTCAGACAGGCATAGGCACAGATCATATCAGACTGGGTGGGCAGACGGACATTGCCATTTTCCCTTCCTGCATCGCTCTGTTCACAGCTTGGAGAGGCGGTCTGATCTCTCCCATCTCTCTGGTCAACTCCTCGGTCGGCTTCAACTGCAGGACAGAGTAGAAGATATTGCTTTAAAATGGCTGTGGAAGGAAGTGTAGCTGAAAGACAGAGCCAGTGCCTGTGGCATTCACGGTATCAGAGTGTTTATCACCCAAAATAGTGCACCCTTGAAGAGCTACAGAGGCTTAAAAATATTCAGCATGCAACACACTTCTGAGTGTGTCCGATGTCCCGGTTTCTCACTGTGCACGGTGGTTCCTCCCGCTGGCCTTTACGTCACCACTGTGTCCTGTAGAGACATAGAGGCCGGAAGATGGTACCACTGTACACAGAGGGGAACCAGACATCTGGAATACCTGCAAGTGTGTCCGATGTTGAAGCTTCTTTGGCAAGCTTAGTTCTTCAAGAGAGCAAAGGTCGGCAGTGAGGACAGCGGGAAAGGTATTCATTTTGTTATTTGCTGATCATGCTCCTGGTCATACGTGTAGAAGATGCTCCATTTCTCTGCATTGACCTGGGGCCTGTGTCCCTCTCTGCTGCACTTCATCTGAACTTCTGTTCAGGGCGTGCGCACTGTACTTTGGGACTACACGTGACATAATTCCTTGCCCATCCGTCACACAGCACAGTGAGCATAACGGTAGGGGTCCTGGCCACACGCGTGCCCCATTAACAGCATTTGAGCAGGGGCAATGAGACGGACCCCTGCCACACTGCGCATGCGCACTCTTTGTATGGCGTTCGAGCGTGCACAGGAAGACTCGCCTCCAGGAAGACCAGCAAGGCAAGGGAGCCACCCTCAGAGGCAGAAACGGGTTACACTTGGTTTTGAAAAAATGCTGCAAAGGTTTGCTGAACACAGAAAAGGGACTGGAAACCTGCAGCAACGTAAGGAATGCTGCTATACCTCTCCAGGGAGGGTTTAATATCACTTTAACTAAATAGATCAAATGGTTTTGTGTGGACTTACAGAATATAATAACTAAACCTGTTACAAAGATTGAATACGCTTTTAGACTGTGGTGGAAATGTCTGCTATTCAAAAACACTAACCCCTGTCCATTCTAATGATTCAATCATGCTATGACAATGCATTCATGGGATACATTCACATTTTTTAAGCAGCGTTTGAGTCCGCACATTCCGCACAGCTTTGCATGCATGTATTTACCAGAGGAAATATCTGTATACTGTACATAAGCTGGTCTAATGGCAGAATGATAGACATTTATATTTAAAAAAATCTTGCTCTCCTTTATTTATGATATTGTGGCACTTTCTGATTTACATGTCAGTCCCACAAGCAGGTCTTTTAAGACTATACCCAGGAGCCCATAGCAGATTATTAAATTGGTGTATAATCAGGAGAGAAGGCACTGACCACTTTCAAGAAAGCAAAGTTTACACAGGCTCTCGAGGGGTTCCAGCAGATTTCTGGGGGTCTGCATAGAATCCTGTATGTCCTGGCACCATAGGGTGCCCATTATTCTCTAAGTGCTTATTCACATGATTTATAGCTAATGTGGGTTTACATCGGAGGCTCTCCTATACGCTGTGAGGAAATGCAGATTCAGCTATGGCACTCACCTCCCCGGCAGGCCTGGATAAAGAACATTTTAGGCTTGTTCTGTAGCTGCGGGCAGTGAGCGTTATCCAGTATTGTGAAGATGTCCTGCAACTGTCATAAAAGGAAGTGTTACCACACTCGCATAAACACAAGGTTCACCATCTGCAAAGTCTCAAATCAGACAATGAAAACATAAAGCTCCTGAGACTGGAACATGCTGACAGACATAAGGAGGATCTACTGCCTTCTGCATTTTACATATACACAAAGGATTTCATAAGCTGAATGTAAAGAAGCTTTTCAAGGAGACAGTGAAGGGAATCTATCAAGACTGGAGCAGACAAAGTCTGGAGCAACCGTGCATGGCAACCAATCAGCTTCTCTCTTTCATTTTCAAATCTTCACTGAACAAACTGAGGAGAGAAGCTGATTGGTTGCCGTGCACAGCTGCTCCAGATTTTGTCTGCTCCAGTTTTGAATGACATCGTTTGTCATTAAAATGGACATTTGCTGAACACAAACAGCTTGGTGTGCTGGTGACATCCTTTATATTTTCGTATTATCTCTTGGCGCCACCGTGGTCACTGCGAGCACCCATTTGCATTTTTTCAAAAACCTGGTAAGGAGTGCAGCAAGATGCATATACTTTCTCCAGATATGAGCTTGTAGGACATCCCATTCCAAAAACAATGGGCATTATTATGGAGTTGTCCCCCTATACCACCATCCACTCTTTTGCAAAGACTTTCCACAGGATTTTGGAGTGTTTCTGTGGGACCTTGTTCTCAATCAGCCAAAAGAACATCTGTGAGGTCAGGTACTGATGTTGGCTCACAATCAGTATTCCAATTCATCTGGTTGCATGCTTGTTCCAGGTCAGAGACTTTGCCCATCTGGAGCAAAGTAACAGGAAACGCTGAGCTCCACTTATCTGTTGGAGCCAATACCTCGTACTTCCTGGTATGGGGGAACATGTAACCTTCTCCACATCATAAGATGCAGTGCTTGGGCCAATCACTAGGTATGAACATTGTCATGTGGGAAGGAGATGTTCATTAACTCTGTGTAGGCCTTGACAAAGACCAACAAGGAGTTTACACAGGGATTAAACCTACGATCCCGACAGATTAACAGAGCGGTGAGACTCCCTCTGCAGGGAATGTAGGGGAGCTCTAATAAGAGAACTATGCAAACGATTCAGCTGCAATAGTTCCACACTGCTGATTCCCATTTAAAGCAGGAAACAAACATCAAATTATTTTGGGTGTCTACTTCAATTAGAAATTTTGCAAATAAAATGCCCTCCCAGAAACATTGCAAATAAGTTTTATTCAGAGATCCAAGCAGCTCTGTCATACTCTATGGAAAAGATTTTTGCTTAGACCGATTTCTGCTCTAAATGAATATTGCAGGGAAACGTGTACAAAGAATATGCAGAAACCCCCGAATCCTTTCTCCTACCTTGACCAACTCGCTATCAGTCCCATATATAGCACCGTCGACTCCGTGGGACAAAATGGCTACAATGGCGGAGTCCAGATGAGAGTGCTCAGGCAGTGAGGAGAAACGGATTAGTTCAGACTTCATTTTCTGTGAAGGGAGAATGACAGCTGCAGGTAAATGGTTATATATGACATGACAACGTCGTCTTACAGCACTTTACATGGTAATATGAGAAATGGGATCTGCCGTAACCGCAAATCAATAGTACAGAATCTAATATTTCAGTATGTACTGTGACACTAACTAAAGAATAACATTAATACCGATCGAAAGTCAAAAAACATTGTTTAACCACTTCAGTACTGGCATGGTACACCCCCTTCAGTACGCGGACAGTTTTTAATGTACAGGTCACCTACAATGGGAGGATGGTGAAGGGTTTCATGTAAGAATGTGCAGGATAAGGGAGGTGAAGGGGTTACCGCATACATCAGGGCAGAGACAGAATGTTTTCACTTAGATGACTCATCCATTCAATACTTCCTTTACTCCCCCCTGCCTCAGATGTAAGAGGAAGGGCAGAGCTTGGCAATGTAAACATTGCCATGCGTTTGCTGTGATAACCAATCACATGGCACAGAGCAGGTCTGATTGGCTCTGTGCCTAAAGCCACTGCTCTTTGTTGTCTATTGGCAACAGGAGCAGCGGCTTCTGCAGCCACAGGTGAATATACAGGTACATCCTACTGGAACAAAGGGGCTGCAGACCGGCTGTAAATGTACAGTGGCTGTCCTGTGCTCCCACCCTACTAACACGCTTTTAACCCTATAGTATTTTATACGTCTGCCATTGAAAAGTTGAACTGGACCTTTACCCCTTCACTGAAAATGACTACAGGGTGCAGCTCTGCATGCCGATATGAAATCATCTTACATTTAAACATATTGTTCTTTTACTTACAATTATTGTTTTTCCACTTCCTGGTCCTCTTGGGCATTAGTAATATAATCTGTGCCCAAACGTTGCATCCTGGGAAGATTACATCAGCAGAGCATTGCTGGCAAATCTCATCTGTAATCTCATGAGAGTTCAGGGAAAGGCATGGTGTAAATGGTCACATGTTCTAGTCACATGTGCCAGAGTTCCAGGAAGTAAAGGGAAATATAGTAATCTGCCCTTATTAAAAATGGCCGCTGTGAGAAGAATACGGAGGGAAAATAAAAATAAGGTATGCAAAGAATGAAAAGCCGGCAATTATCTAGAAGTATGTGTTTGTAGATTGTCATTACTGAACATTTCCAAAGGTGTCTTTGTTGTCATTTCAAAGACCTGGGTAAAGTTCCCCTTTAAGCATTTTCTTACTTGAACAGTTCTCTCTAAACTGTACTGAGCTGCTGCGGTAAAGTCCAGCGGGAGCCGTACATTCAAAGGAGTCAATGACAGACTCCAGGTCATCCAGCCCCTCTCTGTCCTTTGCTACTCACACGGCACAGCCTATGGTGACATTGAAGCTGGACAACTCCACACAGCTTAAAGCGTACAATTCAAGTAAACAGACATTTGGCTATTCAATGGCAGATGTACCAATAAGTAAGGGGTTAAAAAGTGAAGGTGTCCGGAGTTCAAATAAAGATGAAGTAAAAGACAGCATGTTACCATTACATACCGAAGCAGTTAAATCACTGCGGAAAATAACTCTGTAGTTGAAGTTAGCAAGCAGGTGCTTCAGAGCGGTCTCATCCACTTCCCCTCCATAGCGCTGACCCAGCTCAGGATCGGAAAACTGGATATTGCTGATGATTAGGGCTAAGCCACGAGGGAAAGTGTTCATCTTGTAGGCCTGGAGGGAGACATAGGGAAGAATTTAACGTTTCACATCCTCCGCAGCTAACAAGCTACCTGGCTGCACTCTAAAAAATCTGCACTCCAAAGACACAAGTTAATGTAGCTCTGTAGTCAGTGATATACCATTTAAGTATTTTTTGAAATGCATGCTTTTGTGCCCGAATTTGACCAGATATCAGTCCCCTATAAAGCAGAGCTGAGACTGGGAAAGGTAAAAGAAGTATAAGAAGCCAATCAATTGGGCTGAAGTGCAAGGGACATGCTGCTAGGAGGAGAAGGCAAAGTGGCAAAATGACAGAATGATGAGCTCATCAGTCTGCTACTTCTCCTTTCAATGTTCAGTCACAAGCTGGGGGGGGGGGGGGGGGATGATGTGGGGCAGGGCTGTGTAACTCAGGAATGGATGAATAAAAATGCAAATCCTTTGACACAGATCTCTTATAGGAATTTAATCTGTGTATTTATTCCACATTTTTTATTTCATTAAAAAGGACAACTTTAGATTTGGTACCATTTGTCATTTAAAGCCCCACTCTGTACTCCTGTTAAATGTTCCCATGCAGTAGGCCAGTCCTATAGTGGACATGAGGACTGCCATGGCTGGCTGCCGGGGGAGTGAAAAATAAGGTAAGTATGGGTACTTATATCTTTCTTCCCTAGCCAAACAAGCATTTAACCCATGCACTGGGGGGGGCACCCCACTGCATGGGTAAATTTAACAGCAGCCCAGAGTGTGGCTTCCCCACCCCCATGAGTGCAGCCCAACTGCCCCAATTCCAGTCATCTTCATTGCAATGGCTTCCCAAAACCGCATAGCCTTTCTTTTGAACATGACCCCGCAGTGTCCTCTTCATCCTGTGCATGAACACCACAACCCCATTCATTGTATTCTGAACAACTCCTGGAGGCTGCCATCAGTATGGCTTGCCATAGGAATGAATGGGGCTGTGACTGTGCCTAATGCTCCACACCAGCAGTGACTAAAGCTACAGATAAGCTGTAAAAGCAAAATGCACCCCCTAAATATTAGGGATCCCACAAAGATATACTAACCTGTTTATGGTGAGAAAGGTAGAAACCCACGCTGGTGTGACTCACACCTACTGGACCATCTCCATCATCTATGCTCATCTCACTGCATTCTGTGCATTCTGGGAAACACCAAAACAGGCCACGTCATGCAACAAGAATAGATAGAATGCATAAAGACATCGGTGCAATTACAGGGATACTGTCATGAAGCAAAACAATTGTGTGATAAAGCTGTGATGGAAGCTGTAATTCCCCATCATGTGCACACTAATTTCGGGACATGAACTTGTGTATTAATGGGTCTGCAACTTGTAAGCAGCACATACGCGAGAGATTACATCACAGCCTAATGTCTCTAGGGGTTATGTAACAGAGAACCTTTTAAATATGAATTTGTACCTGCACCACTCTCATACACCGCTCCCGGGATGGACTACAATCTCATGTTTAGTTTACTAATTTATATTGAGATTGTAGTCCAGCACGGGAGTGAGCTTGGAGCGGTCAAAAAAACGACAAACAGCGCTCTCGGGAGGGGGCCCTGAATGAACAGTGTGCTGCCCTTAGAAACAGGAAGAGGACCTGTGCGGACTGGAATGAACAAAACACACAAGGGCGCAAAACTTGAAGGTGGCTGTGACATAAATTTGGACCAATGTGCAAGAAAACTTGTTAATGATTATGCACTTACGTTTGGATTAAGGGACCAGACGAGGGGAAGCCCCGGAGGAGGATGAGCATCTGTCATGCAGCTGTTTGGTTCGGGAAGCAGCCCTGTCCCTGAATGTCTGGTTGTAGCGGCGTGTAGAACGTGCAGAACGTCTAACGGTAGTGGACGGGAGAAAGCTGTTAAAAAGGCTGTGGAGGCCAGCGGGTAGTAGGAGTGGAGTTTTAACCCTTTCGCTGCCAAGGACGTATGGCATACGGACCTACAAAAGTGCTTCTAGCTGGCCAGCTCAATCTGTAAACACCGGGAGCGACGCGTTTCGAGAATAATCTCTTTCTCAAGCTCTGGCGGTGTTTCAAGTGGCGGGAATCCGCCGATTTAAAAGTGACAGCTTTCTCCCGTCCACTACCGTTAGACGTTCTGCACGTCGCTACAACCAGACATTCAGGGACAGGACTGCTTCCCGAACCAAACACTGTCTTGTCAGCTGCATGACAGATGTTCAGTCCGCTCGATCACCATCCAGCCAGACCAAGCGTCCAAGCCTCACCACTCTGACTCCTGTCCACACAGGAGCAACACGGACGGTGTCTTTACACCACCCTTCCTCCAACCTCCGGTGCTCAACCCTGCGTTCCCCAGCCGTGACAGGCTAGCACTCACAGCGCATCAGCCACGAGGCGAGAACACTGTTCTGGGAACTCCCGATCCTCCTCCGTGGCTGCCCCTCGTCTGGTCCCTTCATCCAAACGTAAGTGCATAATCATTAACAAGTTTTCTTGCACATTGGTCCAAATTTATGTCACAGCCACCTTCAAGTGTGTTTTGTTAATTCGAACCTGGAGCGGTGACTACTTTACAACACACACAGGGACCACGGGGAACAAAAGTAGCCCCCCTCCAGAAGGAAGGACAGTGTCCGCACCAATTCAGAGATGATTGGAGGATCTACAGCCGAGTGATACACAAATAAGATACATTGTTGTTAATAGTTAAGGTAACTGAATGTATTTTTAGGATTTAACTCCTGAGTTTGGTGTCACTTTAATAAAGGGGTCAGCAGTGGCGGTCTCTGGACTTCTCCCAGTATGGGTTCTCTTTATTATATTCGATCAGTAGTGCTGATAACTGCTCTCTAACAACAGACTGAGAGCAGTCTACACCGCTCAGCCACAACAGCTGCCACAGCCTCACCTAGTGAGAAAGGTCTTCCTCTTGGAATGGTTTCTTGCACAGACAATGGAAACTTTGTTTCCTGTAACTACAGAGAACAGAGACTAAATATTTGACGGGATACAAACAAGGAAAAGATTACAAATATTATTAAATAAGTGCTGTGTTATAACCTGGCAAACTGCTGGTAACAGCTAATAGTCATGACACATAGGGCTCCTTCACACGTGTGGCCAAACCAGACATTGAGGCCAGGTTCACACCTAGGTGACACCTCACCACTCGGTAATCGTGTACGATTACGTGAAGATTGCAGCGCGGTCAGGAGTCGCCAAGGTGTGAACACCTGATGTTATTTTCTAATGGCTTGGTTTCCCGCCACGATTCCGCCCATGCTAAAACAGACGTGCGTCATGTATCGCAAATAAAAGGTACTTACACCTTCTTTCTGCGATTGCTGCGCGGATGTCACGCTCATTGAAATCAATGGGGCCGTGCGGCAATCGCTGCCTGCATTGTACAGGATGTCCCGGGTGTCGTGCGGTGCAGGTGGGAACCTAGCCTTAATCAGGTGTTTTTAATGCCTCTCTGCCTCCTATGTGGGATAAAACAATGAGAGCCGCACAGTACAGTTCACATGTGGGCGTTAACGTAGCGTCAAACAATAGATTGCATGTCGTGTTGTGGGGGCATTGCCACTGGAATAATGCCTCCATTAAGTCTATTGAGCCACTTGGTCAATGCTCCCTAGAGCAGTTTTCATGCATTTGTCAAGCGTTGCACAGGCGTTTAGGAGAAGTATATTGCAAGCCCAGAAAACACTGGGAAATCAGAGAGCGAGAGGACAGAGCAGCTGCAGATACCAGGACCCACGTCTGCCCAGCTACTGCCACTCCTGCTGGTCACTTCCCTTTACTAAATCACTTTACGCTCCCCTACTTGCAGGGCATGTTGCAAGCATTTGTGACGCCTCCCTAATGCCCTGAAGATGCCTCAATAACACTATAGGTGTGTTAATCAGCGTTGTTCTGTCATTAAATTCTCAACGCACGTGTGAAAGAGCCCATACAGTTACTGTAACCTGCCCGGGGATAAAAAGGTACCAGAGAACTCACTGGGCAGAAAACATACAGCTACTTATTGCAAAGCTAGATAGCCGTATCATTATTATGTAAATACATACATTGCATCCTTAAAAAAAAACAAAGTCCTAGAATCAAATATATTTCTTCAGCTTATGTGTCAGTGTAACACTCCCAGGTAATAATTATCTCTACCAGAGATCACAGGACTCCCCCTTAATATGCCTACATTTGCTTTTCTCTCCATAAGGATGGAGCCATCTTTGTTCAGGCATCACCCAGGGTCACAATCTACTTTCGGCTCAGAGATGACACAATTATGTAAATCTTGGTGACTGTGCAATCCTTTCACACACGTCTGACACAGATCACCTCTGCTGGCTCTCTCCTTGTTTTGACTTGTTATACAGTTACAACGTTGCAATCTGATCACTGGGGGGAAAAGACACACAATACTGGAGAACATAATACTATAACTCTATATTGTCAGGTGTCAGGAATGTATTTATGCAGAGATGTCAGGTTGAGATAGTATGCCGTTCTTACAGAAAGCTAACTTCTGCGTTTGCATACTTTCATCATACGCTGAGTTTGCATTGCCTAGGTTTCCGAGGTCTACTTCAGGTGACGAGCTGCAATGTATTATTTCCTCAGTATTTATACTGCTATCTGTGTGGAGTAAGTCACGGACCGAGGTCTGGGTGTAACTTGGGCTGACTGCCAGGAAAGAACCCTTTTGTAAACAAAGAAACAACTGCAATCACTATGTACTACATAGCAACAGGTTCTGTAGTTCATAATCTACATCAAATAGAAAACAGGAACATTCATCACCTTCTGCAAAATATTGTAGTGTGTTAGAGCAGCAGAGATACAAGCGGCAACGTTTCACTTCCTATTTTGGTCTGTTGAATGTCAATATAGAAAAAACCTAAACACAAATGTCCACCATGTGTGACCCTTAGGGGGTGATTTATAAAGCTTCCGCCTAGCCATACGCTGGGTAAATGCAGCTCGCGCAGCGACAGTCTGTAAAATGTAAGGTCTGGTGCACAAATCTCCCTCAATATCTTACAGGTTGCCGCGCTGTTTGTGACCATGGACATATTTTAAAGAGACACTAAACTCAGAGGTTAAATCTTAAAAATACATTCAGGTACCTTAAATGGTTTCTAAACCCTCAGCTTTTTTTTTGCATATATCTACTGCTAAAAAGCAGTAAATAAATGCAAAACGTTAAAAAAAAAAAAAACCTGTATCTTCCCGGCGTGCTCCCGTCCGAAAATGTGAAACTGCTTGGGCGGCCGCAAAGGATCTTGGGGGGCGCATGCGCAGTTCACATTTTCGGCCGGGAGACACAAGGTAAGTCTATGGACGCGTGCACCCGCATGCAGACACCGTGGGACAGGAAGTGCCAGCAAGTTCAGAGGTGTCAGCGCTGGATCGGACACTCGCCGCAGCGCTGGAGAGAAGGCTGAAAACGACAGATACATTGTTTTTCATAGTTAAAAGGAGAACTATGGGGTTAAGGCTTTTCCCCATAGTTCTCCTTAGGGTAACGGGAGAGCTTAGGGTAACGTCCTCACGTCACCCTAAGCTCAGTATACCCGGCGCTACAGTTTGCGTTATACTGAGACGCCGCAGCTGAAGCGGATCCCGACAATTATGTCTGAATCCGCCCAGATGCGTGAGTGACAGCTGGCTCTGCCTATCTAGAGGCAGAGCCAGCTGTACCCGACTTGAATTAATTTTAAGATTTAACTCCCGAGTTTAGTGTCACTTCAAGCCTCGTTGAACAATCTCTCTGGATCCATCTCTGATGTAATATAAAGTAACACTTACTTCCGATTCCTTGTTCTTCACCATGGCCTCCAGTTGTTGCGCTAAGTGCTTCTGTCCTGTTTTCTGCAGAGCGGCACAGAAGACAGAGAAGGCATGCGGCCCTCTGCTTGGGAGTAAATCCAGCAACACCGTGTTCTGTTTGAAGCGCCGGTTGTTAGACTGTTTGGAAGATCATGAATTAAAAATTGGAGAGTTAGTTCAAATATTCCAGCTGCTACTATAGAAAAAACTATAATCAATCACTACAGAGTTAGAAACAAAATGTAATTTCAGTTGGGATTGGCAGGGGGAGCAGAGGTATTCGACAAACTCAGAAGTGCCCAATACATGCGGCGGTAGGAGAATGGCTTTTGTACTGACCTTTAACCACAAGGGCTGCCAGAATGGGTGAGTACATAGCATCTTATTTTACAGGCTGCATGGTAAATATAGATTCAAATGCAGTAATTTATAGATATATAATTATATAGTTAGAGGATAGCTCCTAAAATATCCCCCAAAAAATGTTGTTCTTGGTTCCTCACCTCAACCTTCTCCTTCATAATTGGAGTTAAGACTCCATCAGCCAGCAGATGCTCCAGTAACTCATCGGGCTCCAATTCCTGGGCCAGAGGCACCCTCAGCTTGGTGAGGGCGACTTTGTGATTCTCTTTCATGCCACCCAGCATCCTAGAAGACAAAGCAAGATTTACATTATTATTATTATATTATACAGGATTTATATTGCGCCAATAGTTTGCACAGCGCTTTACAATATAAGGAAGACATTACAATCACAATACAATTTAAGACAAGATGGTAAGGAGGGCCCTGCCCCTGAGGGCTTACAATCTACAAGGGAGGGGCCAGTGATACATGAGGAGGTAGCTGCGCAGGGATGATTGTTTGAGAAAGTGGGATAGGCTTCCCTGAAGAGATGAGTCTTAAGGGATCGCCTAAAGGCAGTCAGTGTGGGAGATAGACGGACAGGTTGGGGTAGAGAGTTCCATTGCACATAAAGAACCAAACTCCCCTCAGTAACTGGTGAGCACATGGAAGGATATTAACCCCTTCATGACTGAGGCCCTTTTTTCCATTTTTGCACCCATGTTATATTCCACATTTTAGGCAGAAGTACAGTGGGGGGCAATTTATCAAAACTGGAGCAGACAGTATTGGAAATGTGCTACTTTATTTTACATAAGAGTTGATCACCGATGGTTACTAGATATGATATGTAATATGATGCATGTATTTTATTTCAATTACTCTGCTTTAAAAGGGTAAGTCCACTTTCCTAGGTGAATTTGGGAAAATGGAATTACCCCCTTCAATCTGCCACCCCAATACTGACCTTTCGGTGAACACTCCTTCCCCTCTGCTGGAGCTGATGTACTATCTTACTATCCGAATCCCGTACTTCTGTCTAGTACAGCCCTGCACTCTGGATTTTTAATTTCGCTCACAAATGGCGAGCACTCATTGGCCAGTTGAGCGCTTCTGCCCATGCTGACCAATGGAAAGTACTTCTTGCTAGACAGCAGTAGGGATACGGATAGTACACCCGCCCCTGCAGAGAGGAACGAGTGTTCACCGGTACGTATAGTAGGGGAAGGAGGGTGGGATGGGAGAAGGGGCCAGATTGGAGAGGGTACCTGGGAAAGCGGAATTACTTTTTAAAAAGAACTTTACCAATTAAATCTGTTGAAAAGCTACTAAGAGACGTAGCTTCATTTGCCTTTAACAAAAACCCAAAAGGACCCTAGTACAATGGTACCCAAAAATAAAAAAAGGCTATACAGCAGGGACAGAATACATTACTAAAGTGCACATCACCACGAAAATACACCTATTCAAGACAATATAAAGAGATCACTGTCCTACATAGCACAGGGAGAACTCAAAACCAAAACCTTTTTTTGCTTTTGGATAGAGTAAGGGGTTACAGCTCCTTTTAGCTTTTTTTGCCCTCTGTGTCCCGCACAGGAAATTTCCTGTCCGATAGCCACAACAAAAAGTGAGAGGAAATCCCTGGTGGTGACCTTAAAAGATTTCCCATCTACCCCTGTTCTGGTGATAACCCAAAATTTGGCATTTACTTTCCTTTTCAGTGAGGATGCACCAATGGCGATACCGAGTATGCGAGTGAGTACTCGTACTCGCTCAAATGCTCCGATACCGGAACATCCGGTCAGAGGGAGATCTCCCTCTGACTGGCAGTGCCGGGGCAGCATGGAGCCGGCTTCCTTTCCAATCAGGAAGCCGGTCGGTTGGTTATGACCCACCTTCCGGCTTCCTGATTGGCTAGGAAGCCTGCTTTACTTATTGCAAGGCAGTGTGGCTTCCTGACCAATCAGGAAGCTGGGAAGGTCATTACCTACCGCCCAGCTTCCTGATTGGTCAGGAAGCCAGGCTGCCTAGCAAATAGTGAAGCCCGCTTCCTAGCCAATCAGGAACCGTGCGGTACGTACTGACCTGCCTCCTGTTCCTGATTGGTCAGTGCCTAGCAATAAGTGAAGCCAGCTTCCTAGCCAATCATGAAGCGAGTAGTGATATACTGCCTGGCTCTCTGATTGGCTATGAAGCCGGCTTCACTTGTTGCTAGGCAGCCTGGCTTCCTGACCAATTAGGAAGCCAGACAGCACCTCATGACCAACTGTACGGCTTCCTGATTGGTCAAGAAGCCAGGCAGCCTCGGCAAGTGAAGCCGGTGTTCTTTCGATAGAACTTCAGCTTCACAGGCAATCAGGAAGCCAGGCAACGGGTCATGACCCGCCGCCCGACCTGATAAACGGGGCACACGGCACCAGTACTTGGTATCAGTGAGTACAGAAAAAAAAAAACGGCACCCGTACTCGATACCGAAAAACCGGTATCGGTGCATCGCTAGTTAAAACATCACCAGGACACACAGAGAGGGTGAATCCCCCCAACACAGATAGCAATAAAAACCTGACCAGGATCCTAATACCATTACTAGTGCTTATGTTAAACACTTTTACATTCTGGCTATGGCTGCAACAACTTAATTAACCCCTTTGCGTCCACTGACGTACGTCAGGCCCGTTTAAACAGACTCTTGGCGGCTAAAGCCTCTGTCTACAATAGGGCTGCAACAACTAATCGACATAATCGATTTTGAAAATAATCGTTAGCTGCAGCTCTAGTCTACAATTGTAAAGCCGGCTGCCACCAGATCGCTTCTACGGGCCAGTAAAAGTGGGCTGGTGAAGTGGTAAAAAGGCAATTCTGCAAGGGATTCATATACAACCATCGCACTCCTGACCGGATAGAAAACCCTAATTATAGGTTGGGTGCTGAAATGACCGCGGATGCCTCCGCAAAATAAGTCCAAAAAATACAAAAAGGTCACAAGCACTCCATCATGTAGAAAAGTCAATGTTTATTGACTTCACAGGTGTCACATCATCAGAGCGACGTTTCGGAACAGCAAAATCCCTTTCTCAGGCAAAACAGTTACATGAATCTGTCGCAAATTGTGCCATTTGGTGCACGGACAGGAAGCAGATTTCTGAGCGTCTATATGGATTCCACAGATTGTGCTTTTCCTTCAAATTAATGTTACGAGAAGCCAAAACTACAAACTGCATTTTGCTTTTCTAAGCATCTGTACAATCCCTTCATGTGATCTTGTGGTGAACTCCTCCATCCCTCTTGTGGGATTTGCTGTAATTGTTATTTTGACTTTGGCTACTTTTCGTTCTTCTCGCTGTCCATGCGATCCCACAAAGATTGTGTTACATTGCTTACGTTAAAGCTTTTAAAAATCTGATGTTTTCCTGAACAATGAATAAAACCGATTTATATTTCTCAACAATCTCCGTTCTTTAAAGTGACACTAAACTCCGGAGTTAAATCTTAAAAATGCATTCAAGTATCTTAACTATTAACAACAATGTATCTTATTTGTGTATCACTCGGCTGTAGATCCTCCAATCATCTCTGAATTGGTGCTGACACTGTCCTTCCTTCTGGAGGGGGGCTACTTTTGTTCCCCATGGTCAATGTGTGTGTTCTAAAGTAGTCACCGATCCAAGCTCACTCCCAGGATGGACTACAATCTCAATACAAATTGGCAAACTAAAAGTGAGATTGTAGTCCATCATAGGAGCAAGCTCGGAGCGGTGACTACTCTACAACACACACAACTGCATTGCAGTGCCATTCAGTTCAATGTCACCCCAAACAAGCCTCCCACCCACAGTGTGTACGTCAGCACTGGAACGCATGGTACCGCAATGCCGTGTGGTCCAGTGCAGTGCGATTGGAAAAAATTGTGCATGCAGTTTTATTCCGAAGTAAATTTTATTTAAATTTTTGTTATGTGATTAATCGAGAAAATAATCGTCCAACTAGTCATTAGGCTGCCCATAAACCTTGCGATCATCGGACTAAACTTTTCGTCCGATGATCGAACCGTCGTATGATTTTTGTACGGCGGCCCCATCCTGCCCCGATTATCGCAAGGTTGGAGCAGTAATTAACAGAAAAGCACCTGGACAAAGTATGGAAATGGACCGCACATATTTTCGTCTGCGCATGTGTAGTGTAGATCGTACGAATTTTGACGTACGGAAACGCCACCAACCTTGCGAAAATCGTACGATCGACCGAAATTTTCTAACCTGCTGGTTAGTCAAAAGTCGATCGATTATACAGTATTTGCGGTTGTTCACTGCCCATCAACCGTACGAATATCGGAGGAAAACGCGATCGCATATGAAAATCGGCCGATATTCATAAGGTGTATGGGCACCTCAAGTTGCAGCCCTAGCTTTAACAACAGTCAACCTCATGCTGCTTAAAATCAGCACCTAGGATCCCACCCTTGTGCCAAGGCCATGACCAGGAAGTGTTGGACTGCCGATGAGAACAAGTCCAGTCCAGGTAATAGTTAAGTATTTGTCGCCTTTTATTGCTGCTTTGAAATTGTGACCAGCAAAGGAGGGCCCAGTCCCCATAAGGAGGTTCGGTCTCCATTACATTCATCCACCATCTCAGAAAGACTGAGAACACAACACAGGTAAACTGTTCAAGCTTGCAGCAAGATTCCACATGTGGGTGTTAAAGGACGAGATGCGGACACACAAGAAAAACTGTGTGAAAAGATGCATACCTGAGAAGGTTCTTCTGTACCTGCTTTAAAAAGAAGCATTATATCCTAAAAGCCTCTGAGAAGGAAAACTTTCCGGGACCAACCAACATGATGAGTAAAGAAAGCAGAACAGGAAGCGACTAGCAAAACAAGATAAAGAGCAGACTTCAAGTAAAAGCTGAGGGAGTGAGAAGAAAGCAAAAAACAACGAGGGAGGCAAGTGTGTGGGTTGTGTGGATGAAGTCTTAAAGGGACAGAACAGTGTATTTGTAGTAGACAAGTGTTTTGAGTAGGGATGCACCGAAATCACGTTTTTAGACCGAAACTGAAACTTTAAAATGAGTCAGTCCGAAACAGAAAATTACTTTTTTTCCAACCTTTTTAAAATTATCTTTTAATTATATATATATATATATATATTACAGTAATACCTTGGTTTACAAGTAACTTGGTTTAAGAGTGTTTTGCAAGACAAGCAAACATTTCTGAAAAATTGATATACAAGCAATGTCTTGCAATAAGAGCAAAATTCTGCAGAAAAGCGCCACCGAATAAGGCTGTAGCAGTGCGAGCG